CTCCTCCTCCTCCTCCTCCTCCTCCTCCCCGCGGGACATCGCTCCCCTCCGGCGGCCGGCCCGGGCTCTCCGCCATCCCGGAGAATGGGGACGAGCGGGGACGAGCGGGAAGCAGGGCAGGATCCGGCGGGATCAGCGCCGGCCACCGACGGGGGGGACGGGTCGGGGGGAGGCGGAGCCTGCGCACGGTGCCCCCGGGGCGGCGGCCACCGGTGCCCCGCTCCTCCTCCTTCTCCTCCTCCTCCTCCTCTTTCTCCCGCTCCTCCTCTTCCCGCACCTCCCCCGCTCCCCCGCACAGCCTCTCCCCCATCCCGCCGCTCCTCGCCCCGCTCAGTCCCTTCTCCAGCGATTTTTGGGATGGGCAGGGCTGGTTGGGGCGCAGGAACCGGAGCCTTTTCGGGGCGGCCAAAAAACTTCTCTGTGTTCGTGTGTGTGTGTTTGTCCCCCCCTTCAGCGGCCCCGCGGCACATGGAACGCCTGCCAAGCACCCTCTGCCTGCCCGGGCATCCCCTGGCACCCCAAACCCCCCCGAACCCCTTTTCTTCCCCCCTTCGGGGCTGTCGCATCCTCGCCGCGGTGTCCCCGCATCCCCCTGTCCCTGCTCCTCTCACCTGCTGCCCGAGGCTTTCCCGGCCGCCAGGACAAGGAGGCAGATTCCATTTTCCAAATCCAGGTTTATAAAGACACCCCTCTCACACCTTCACCAACCGCTCTGACCCTCTGGAACCGCCGCGGCCCCGACAGCCTGTTAAAAATAAAATCCGGGAAAACAGCCTTTGAGCCGCTCCGAACATCGGTGAGGAGGGAAATGTGTCCCCTCGTCAAAGGGAACATCAAAACACTCCGTGTAGAAAAATAAACCGCCGAGATTTGCATATTTTTAAGTGGTTTTCATTCGCGTGCCGCGATCCTCCGTGAGTCTGCATTTAAATGGGGTGGGAAAGAAAGAACTTTTCCTTTGGGTAAAGGAAAAAAAATCCTAATTTTCTAGGTGCAAACAGAACAGTGGAGGCAGAGTTACCTGCCAGAGGTACCCTAAGTTAAAAAAATGCAGTTAAACAGTTCTGTATCAGTGTCTATAAATCTGCTTTTTTTATATTCGAGAAGGGGAAGAGGGGGCACAGAACACGGGTTTGGAATGGGTGGGAAGGGGGAAGGTGCAGCCCAAGGGAGGTGGGAAATCCTGCGGAATAAATCATCCCAGCACAGGGATCCCAAACACCTGCTCTGCCAAAAAACAAACGGGCAAATAAAGGAATAATCCTGCAGGTCTTTGGGGTTTGCCCGGGGGTGCTTTGGTAGGGAGACAATAGAACAGAGGCTGCTGTGGGCAGAAGGGATGTTTCTGGAAAATTTAGGAACAGAGGCTCTGGAAAATTTAGGAAAAGGGGTTCAGGAAGGTTTAGGAACAGGGGTTCAGGAAGGTTTAGGAACAGAAGCTCCTGAAGATTTAGGAACAGGGGTTCAGGAAGATTCAGGAACAGGGGCTCAGGAAGGTTTAGGAACAGGAGCTCACAAAATTTAGGAACAGGGGTTCAGGAAGATTTAGGAAGAGGGGTTCAGGAAGATTTAGGAACAGGGGTTCAGAAAAATTTAGGAATAGAGGCTCATGAAGGTTTAGGAACAGGGGTTCAGGAAGATTTAGGAACAGGGGTTCAGGAAAATTTGGGAATAGAGGCTCATGAAGGTTTAGGAACAGGGGCTTAGGAAGATTTAGGAACAGGGGTTCAGGAAGGTTTAGGAACAGGGGCTCAGCACCTGACAATGGGGGTCTTGCAGCTGGACCCATCATAAGGTAATTTTCCCCCTTTTCTCTTATGAGGTTTGGTATCAGTAGAGTGACACAGCTCAGTCATGTCTGTGTTGATAATATTAGTTTACTCTTCCTTATCCTTCTCAACCCTTGGCCTGAAGCTTGGCCACAGCATGGAATGGTTTGGGCTGGAAGGGACCTTAAGGATCATCCCATTCCACCCTCTGCCATGGGCAGGGACACCTTCCACCAGCCCAGGTTGCTCCAAGCCCCGTCCAACCTGGCCTTGGGCACTTCCAGGGATCCAGGGGCAGCCACAGCTTCTCTGGGCAACCTGGGCCAGGGCCTCCCCACCCTTCCCAATATCCCATCTAACCCTGCCCTTTGCAGTTTGAAGCCATTCCCCTTGTCCTGTCCCTCCAGCCCTTGGAAATAGTCTCTCTCCATCTTTCCTGGAGCCCCTTCAGGCCCTGCAAGGCCACAATCAGGTCACCCCAAAGCTTCTCCTCTCCAGGCTGAACAATCCCAGCTCTCCCAGCCTTTCCTCCCAGCAGAGCTGCTCCAGCCCTGGGATCCTCTTGGGGCCTCCTCTGGACTCTCTCCAGCAGCTCCATGTCCTTGCTGGGCTGTTTCCCAGGTGTCACACAAGTCCCACCTTCCACAACTTTCAGACATGAGCCAGAGCCCTTCCCATGATATCCCTGACCTGTCACAGGACCCTGGCTGGAAAAACAAGGCTCAGCTCAGGATTTTAGGATGGGAATGAACAGCCAAGCAATATTCCTGGTGTAGAAGTGGTGGGAATTTTGCAGTACTGGTGGCAGGTTCTGGACACAGCACTGAAATCAGCTGGGGATGGTCATGGACAACACCCTCAGGGACAGGGGGGAGTGTTGGGGTGTCCTGGGCAGGGCCAGGGCTTGGACTGGATGATCCTGGGGGTCCCTCCCAGCTCAGGAATTCCATGACAGGCCCTCCCAGCCGGGTCCCTCCTAAATTTTCCCTAGGATTTGATGTGCTGGAAGCACAGGAGAGATGCCCGGCTGTCCCCTCTTCCCTCAGCCATCAACCCCACCATCCCATTTTCCTTTATTTCCCTCTTCCCTGCTCTCCATTTCCACGAGGGGAGGATTTCAAGGCCAACAAAAAAAACCCAAAACCCTTTCAGTGATAAACAGTCCCCGATTGTTACCGGCGTTTAAGCCTAACAAAAGATTAGCTCTTTAAAAATACAGAGTTTAAGGACTAACAGCTCGAGTCGTTGATTATCCTCAGAGGGGAAAACTTTAGGGCAGAGTGATTCAGTCACCGCTTTTGTGGGGGAATAATTGAAGAGTTTGCATCAGAATTTGCTGCAGGAACAGGGATTTTTGTCCTTCTGGAGCCTAAAACTCCGATTTGGAGGTTCCCATTCCACGAGGATCCCAAGGAGAGAGACAAAGTCACCCTGCAGCATCCCGGTTTCCCAAAGGCAATTCTGGAAACGATAAAATCGTCTCTGTGCCGCTGGAATCCCGGAGCTTTGGCTGCTCTGGGCGCTCAGGACTCTTCCCCCTCTGCCTCAAACCACTTCCCAATTAATCCCTCCCGCTCCGTCTCCAAGCTCTTTACGCCCCATCTGTTTCTGGAGCGGCTCCTCGGCTAATAAATATGATTTTCTCCGGATTAATTCACACCTTCCCCGGCTAAAAGATGAGCGCAGGTAATTAAATACCGCAGATGTTAAACATTAGTGACAACACCGAGATCCCTTCGCAGTCTGGCAGGGAACAAGTTTTATCCCTGGGGGTTGTTAATTAAGCTCCTTTTCCTTCCCTGGCTGTCCAGGTTGTTGCAGATCCGAATTGAGGGTTTTTTGCAGCCAGAGGTAAGGAAAAAAATTCCTTTATTTTTGATTGTTTTGCGCTGAACTCGGCGGGAAATAGAGGGAAGAATTTGGAATTTGGGTGGCATCTAATTGTGTTCCCTGGAGGGATTCGTCAGGTACAAACCCAATGTCCGAGGGTTTAACTGGAACTTCCAAAAATTGCTTGTGGTATAAAACATTATCCCATGTGAGAATATTGATAGAATATTATGAATATAATATTATGACTATAATATTATGAATATTCCCCCAAGAATATTCATATTCCAGTTTAACTGGGACTTCCACAACTTGCTTGTGGCATAAAACATTATCCCATGTGAAAATATTAATAGAATATTATGAATAGAATATTATGACTATAATATTATGAATATAATATTATGGCTATAATATTATGAATATTCCCACAAGAATATTCATATTCCAGTTTAACTGGAACTTCCACAACTTGCTTGTGGCATAAAACATTATCCCATGTGAAAATATTAATAGAATATTATGAATAGAATATTATGAATATAATATTATATTCTTGTTATTCTATTCTATTATATTATATTCGTGTGAATGTTCATAATATTATTACTATATTATTATTATTATTACTATAATATTATTACTATAATATTACTATAACGATATTATTACTATAATATTATGAATATTCACACAAGAATATAATATTATGACTGTAATATTATGAATATTCACACAAGAATATAAATGTTTGGCCCTTTGAGATGGGAAAAAAAAGAACCCCAAAACCGCACAAATATTTTCTGTAACGTTTTTAAAATGTTATTTCAACTGTGGAAAAGACGAAACTGGGAGTGGAAAACCAGCGTTGGAGGGTTGGAATTTTTTCCTGCTTTCAAAAGCCTGGGTTTCTTAGTTTTCCATGGAGAATTCGGGGTGATATTCCATTAATTTGGGGTGGAGAGGGTGTCCCAAAATAAGAGGGAGTTGACGAGCAGCTTGGGGGGTTGGGGTGATGCCATCTGTATTTAGAGTTCTGAGCTTCCCAGCTCTAAGCTGATTAAGGGCAATCCCCTCCCTTCCCAGCTGCCTCGGGAAAGGTGGGAATGCGCAAGGGAGGAGGGGGAAAGCTCCTTCCCGGGCTGGGAAGCGCAGAATTCCAACCTTCCTCCAGCTGAGGCTGGAAAAGCGAGGAGAAAGAGGAGAGGCACCTTCATTCCAGGGACTCCCAGTCCCTCTTTTCCTCCCGTTCCTCAATTCCCAGCATCCCACGAAGCAGCCTGGACTTAAATCCCGACTGATTTAATCCTGAATCCTTCCACAGAGTGTTAAAAAATAGGAGTATATTGACAACAAAGCTTTCAAAACCCAACAAAACCCCGATT